AGTCTCATATCACTAGTCAATTTGCTTCTTAACTCAGGTAGACCATAAGCATATCTCTCAATTACATCTAAAAGTCCCAAAATAGTTTGCATATGATTTTCCATATCAGGATTATTATATTGGAAAGAAAGGTTTAACCAATATCCGACAGCATGAAGATTCGTACGCAATTGACTATCCCATCGATTCTGAATAATTTGCAAATAAGGAGCAATTCTATTATTCCTTCTTTGAAATCTACGTTCCATCTCACTTTTTACCACATGAATAACTTCATACGAGTAGCACATTGAAGACTTTTCATCACCATCAATAATTCGTAGAACACGAACGAGGGGTTTGGTAAGTTGCACGATAGTAGCACACTCTTTCCAAAACACATAATCAAGTACACCATCAATGATTTTTTTTCCTTTAATGTCCAATCTTTAGATGTTACCATTGCTCTTAATGGATCCTTTTGGGCCAATATGCTTTGTAAAGTAATAAAGTTAGTGGCAAAACGAGTAGGAGTAGGTCGAAGTATCTCCTTTCCTCCAATAAACTTCCTCATCAAATGCAATGGTTGTATATATATTTTGTGATTTTTGATGCTTGAGATACAACATGACTAACTTCATCAAGTTTACCAATATCATGAAACACCAGATTAATGCAATGGCTGCACATGGAGACCAAAATAGTGTTTGAAATTCTTGTTCCAATAACTTACCAGCAGCAACATAATTTGCAACATCGTCCATCACCATATGGACCACATATTCTGAACCTAAAAATTACACAACATCTCGAAATAACTCATATAGCATCTTGGCAGTTTTTGATTCATTTGAAGCATCTATGGATTTTAAGAATACTGTTCCATTCGGACAATAAACTAAAAAATTAATAAGGGTTCTTCTACGTTGATGTGTCCAACCATCTGCCATTATTGTACAACTAGTTATCTTCCACGTTGAACGATAGTTTTCAACATAATTCTGTACCACCTGCACATTTTTAGCCAACAGATAACCATGAAAACTGTGAAGGTTCGGACCTTTATAACCAGGGCCAATGCTAGCTATAGCATCTATACTTTGTTGATAATAAATAGAATTTATAGCATTAAAAGGCATACACGTATCAATCATCCATTTTGATATAGTAAGATCACATTTCTCTATGGCTTCTTTGCTATGAAGAACACTTTTGATAGTAGGTTGGTTACCGGGTCCTCTCTTAGCATGAAGTACGAATCAATTCCTTTTCGTTCTTTTAAATCTTTAGCTCTCATTCCTTTTCTTTCATTTTTCCAATAACTACACCCTTTCCTTTAGAACTAGGAGGGATGATTTCTTGAACATCATCATCGCCCAAATCTCTATACAGTTGCTCTTCTTATTCTCGATAATAAGAACTATGTAGGTTACACTCATCAAGAACTTCTTGAGTTTTACGCTTCTTTGCAGAAAAGATTTCCAAGTTTTCCTTCATTTTGAATCTAACATCAGGAGATATTCTACGACACGAATCCACGTCCCCTTTTAATCCCGCTAAATGCTGTTTGACTCGATTGATACCACCTCAAGCGAAAGTCTTTCCACAATACAAACAAACAAGTTTTTTTTTCTTTCCATTGGTGTCAGCTTCTAACATCTCTCTACAATGACCCCATGCTATATCTGTTCTTCCCCTAGCACGATTCTTTGGTGGAGAAGAACCATGCGGTACACTATTATTACCAGTGAACTATACAAAGAAAAAAAAAAACAAGTTCAATTAAAAATATTCAGCAATACATCTAAGAATTAATGCCATAATTGGATTAATCTCATGTAATCAAACTCAACGACGAGCATAATGAATTAATGAAAGCTCAAACTAAACCCAGCAATACATCTAATTAATGTCATAATGAAATAGAAACTGGAACTACAAACTGTCTCAGAGAATTAGTCCCAACATGAGATAGGCTTTTGTGGGATTAA